TATTATTTTCTTAAAAATGAATCAGATTTAGCATTAAGAGATAATGCAGGACAATGTCTTAAACTTCTTGGCTGTAAATTAGCAAAAGAATACAAAGAAAATAGCGTAGATAGACGTTATTTGATGGATGATACAATTTTGGTACTTATAAGAAAAGGAATAACTAGTAAAATTGAAATTGTAAAATTTCAATCAATAGCTTTTTTGGGATATTTAGCCATGGAATGTTCAGATGTTCATCCCATTTTACGAGATTTATCGCCATTAACTAATAAAATGGATCTTGAAGTAGATTTCTTTGAAAATATGCAACATTTGCAATTACATAGAAGAGCTCGAGCATTACTTAAATTTTGCAATTTTGCAAAAACATTAAAAAAATCAATAAATCCACGGACATTAACACAATTTATTCTTCCTCTTGCTTCTTCATATTTGTGCAATGAAACTTATATACATAAAAATAATATTATTGATGCTGCAATTGAAACAGTTGGAACTGTATGTAAACTTTTACCATGGCATCAATATGAAATTATTCTAAAACATTATTTGGAAAAAATAAGAAACTCTATTGAATTTCAGAAACAACTTGTTAGAATCATTATTATTATTTTAGATTCCTTTCATTTTGATTTATCAAAATATAAACCTACAGAGGAATTTTCAAAACATATTAAAAATATTTCTGAAAATGAAATAGTTTCTGATAAAAAAAAAGATGAAGATGAAAATATTGAAGAAAAAAGTAAAGAAAAAAATGATGATAAAAATAATGAACAAAAAATAGAAGAAAAATTAAACGAAGCTTTAAATTCCGAAAATATAGATAAAATTGAAGAAAAAGTTCAAAAAGAAACACAGGAAATAGCTATTTTAGAAAAACAGATAATTCTTTCACAGTATGGAGCACAACAAGTTATATTTAGTATATCAAAAGAATTGTTACCTCAATTGCATCGTTCCATTATAGCAAGAACAAGTCGTGAAAATAGTCACAAAATTAATAAGAAGAAAATTACAATAGATAATGAGGAAGAAGAATTAATGCGAGTTCCTATTGCTCTTGCTTTTATAAAATTATTACAGAAACTACCAGAATATTTTTTAGATACTAATTTGTCAGGGTAAATATGTATATATCTTTTCATATATAAGCTAGTAAGTAATCAAAAATTATTAAAATATGGTAATTAATTGTTTCAGAATTTTTATGAAGTTATGTACATTTTTGAAATCTCGTTTAGAATCTGTACGGCGTATTACTCGCGAAATATTACAAAAAATTATGATAACTTTAGGTCCAAAATATCTTCATCATCTTTTAAGGGAAATGAATACCTTATTAACAAAAGGTTTTCAAGTTCATGTTCTTGCATATACAGTACAATCTGTATTAGTTGCTTTGAAACCATATTTTCAAAAATTTGATATCAATAAAAATCTTCAAAGTATTTTATCTGTAAGTATTATTATAAATATATTTCTTGAGAAAAATTTTATATTTATTATATTGATAATTTAATTTTACTTTATATTAGGTATGTAAAATAGATTTATTTGGTTTAACTGCAGAAGAGAAAGAAGTAATAGGAATCGTGAAAAATGTCGCAGAAGCAAAGTCTACAAAAAGTTTTGATATATTTCATATATTAGCACAATATATTACTGAATCATGTTTAGTAGATTTAATTTTACCATTAAAAGAAGTACTTATGAAAACCCATTCACATAAAACTGTGCAGAAAATAATAGAATGTTTGAGAAATATAGTATTAGGACTAGCTGATAATACCTTTATACCATTAGAACAAATGTTGATATTTCTTTATGGTGTAATTTCTGAAAGCATTCCTGAACTCAGACCTGAAAAAAATGATAAACTATTAACAGAAAAAGAAATAGAAACATTCAATAGACAGAAACTAGATTGCTTTATTATACCTCCAGAACCAAAAACTAAAATGGGTATAAAGGCTATTTCAAAAACATCAAAAAATACTAATGCCCATGTCATTATAGAATTTGGTTTAAAACTTTTTCATATTCTATTAAAAAGGGACAAAGTATCGAATGCAGATTTCAAACCTTTAATAGATCCATTTGTACCACTTATAAGTGAATGTATAAGATCACAACATGTTAAGGTAAAATTATTTTATTCTTAATTTAAATAATGTTTATAATCGACTGTGTTTAATATATCAATATTATATTTTTTTAGCTAACTACTTTAAGTTTACAGTGTTTAAACTGGTTGCTTAGAATGGATTTATCTTTAATACAAGAAACAATTTCAAATATTTGTACATCTATTTTTGATTTATTGCATAAATATGCAGCAGCAGGCTTAAGTAAAGGAGATAATTTCGATTTGGTAATGGCAGGTTTTAAATGTATGTCTGTAATTGTTCGTGATGTGAAACACTATGTAATTAATACAGATCAATTAAAAGCTTTGATCATGTATGCTGAACAAGACATGCATAACACTGATAAACAAGCCACAGCATTTGGTTTACTTAAAGCAATAATTGCTCGAAAAATGATTTTTCCGGAAATGCATCTAGTTATGGAAAAGGTTGCTGTTTTAAGCATAACATCGGAATTAGAACATGTTAGATTACAATCTCGTTCTGTCTTTTATTCTTATTTAATGGAATATCCTCTTGGTAAACATTTAAATAAACATATAGCATTTTATTTGACGCAAGTTAGTTATGAAGTGCAACCTGGTCGACTTAGTGCTTTAGAAATGATTCACAATATTGTCACAGGATTTCCATTTGTAAGTACATTTTATTTTTTCTTTTTTTTTTTTTTTTTTATACTATTTACTAAGAAACGAATCAATCAATTTATTTATAATTTATAACTTTAGAAAACTTTAATTTTGAAATCAAGTCTTATATTTATAATGGTGGGTGCAAGATTAGTAAATGATGATGATCCAACATGTCGCAAATTGTGTGCCAAATGTATTAAAGAACTAATCAAACGTTTATCTTATAATCGAAGGAGTAAATTGTTTGATATAATTATAACATGGTTAAAAGATATAAAGGTATTATTTATAAAATTGAATCTTAAAAATATGTACATATATTATTATTATAATATAATATTATTTTTTTTTAGATAATGCATCGAACATTAGCTGCACAATTATGTGGTATATTTGTAACTGTAGAAAAAGATTCTTTTGATTCTCGTTTAAAAGAAGTATTACCTCTTATTTTAAAACAATTTCATGCAAATTTTAATGATGATAATGAACCGGGTCGTTTTGTGAAAATTCATTCGGAAGAAAAAACTCAGTTAGAAATGCACAATATCAAAGATCCAGAAAGAATGAAAGATCATCATATGTTTCAAGTATTACAGTTGGTATTAAAAATATCAGCAAATTGTACAACATTTCTTAAAAATGAAGAATATAAAGAAGCTATTCATTTATTTGCTGGTTAGCATAATTATTTATTTGTTGCCTAATATATCTTAATAATAACAGTATTTAATTTTTAAGTAATTTTTTTGTATTTTAGAATATAGTCAATCTTTACTGGCACATCCTCATACATGGGTTCGTTTAGCAGCTTCTCAAATGATCGGTTTCATTTTAGCTATTCTTGATGTTGATAAGATTATAGACATTATAAACAATCCAGAAAAATATGAAAAAGAAATCGGTTTTATGTATTCCGATCCTATTACCGTTATAAAAAGTTTAACTTTAGATTTAGTTGCACAATTACAGTCTGATATGATATTAGAAGAATTAGCTGACCAAACTGTTAAAAATTTAATTTTTATTGCAAGAATTTTGAAATCTATGAAAAATAATACAATTGCTATTGATCAAAATGATGAAGTAAAATCAGATAAGAATCAGTTATCTCTTTCTTGGCTTGTTAGAAAATTGAGAAAAGCTGTAAATAAAGAGATAACTCAAACTCCTAAGTCAATAACAGTGGTAAATATTCATAATCATTATATTATTTTTATATAATTTTAAAAAAATTATTGGAATATGAATTTATTTCTTTTAGCGAATTGCTTTCTTTAAATGGGTGGCCGGTGTTGTGGTTACAATACCGATGGAATTTTTAAATGTAGTACTTTTTAACATCATGTCACCAATTGTGCGAGAAATATCGGCAGTAGAAGAAAAAAATACTATTTTAAGACGATTAGCTAAAGAAGCGGCTATGATGATTAAAAAACGTTTAGATAATGAACAATACACTAAATTATTAAGTCGAATACAACAAAATTTAGATATTAAGAAAGCAGAAAGAAGAAAAATTCGTACGCAACAGGTAATTTTTTATATTTCTTATATTTTCATTATTTTTTATAAAATGTATAATAAAAATATGATTTATAACATCATATAATATACGATTAATGTAATAATAAATGAAACGAATATATAATTTATAATACAAATGAAAAAAATAATGTCGAACGTTTTTTTTATCGCAGTTTGTAACGGATCCGGAATTGGCAGCTAAACGTAAAATTGTAAGACAACAAAAGAAGAAGGAAGCTAAAAAAAGAAAATTGGATATAGTAAGAGGGAAAAAAAATATCAAAAAAATATCTGAAAAAAAAATTGATATTTAAATGTCATATAAATACTTTTTTTTAAAAAATTAAATATGTAAATATAATATTTGAATATGTACATATAAAATATATATTTAATTTTTTAAGTAATATTGTACAATCATTGTAAAAATAAAACATATTGAGAAATATTGTTTAATTTATTCTTGATAATGTTATCTTTAAAAATTTCCAAACTTAGAATATATTATTAAGTATAATTAAACTAATAATATTCGTCCATGAAAACTTTTTAATTTGTTATTTTTTTAATTTTTACGCATAAAATATTTTACTTATATATTTTTATGTGTATTATATATTATTATGATAATTATGTGCAGTTTAAATTTCTTGGTAAAAACTAATTTATCGATTCGATATAAAAGGCCAAAGTTAAAATTCAAACATAAGAATTGGTTATTTTTGAACAAGAATTCAATTGATTGTCCAATCATTCTTCGTCCAACCAATTTTAGATCGACTGTTTTCATTGATTGTTGAAGTGTAGAATCGTAAACTTCTGTGCACAAAATTTTATTTCACTATGTTTACCATTGTGTTATTGATGTTAATTGTGATATTAATATTATCAATTATTTTTATAAACATCAGAAAAAATACAAAACTATATCCTCCAGGTAATTGAAAATATTTTTTATAAGTTACATTTTTTTACATATATTTTATGAGTATTTTATGAGTATATAAAATTAGTATATCAAAAATATAAAATTGTATAATATATTTTTTTTTTATTTTGAATATTATTATATTTTATTAAATTTTTATAATAAATTACTATATCTTTGATTTTGATACGAAGTTTTAAAAACATTATTGTTTAAAATATTTCATTTATATTTTTCATAAAAATATAGAATTATCACATTTAAAATTAAAAATTAAAAATATTAAATTATTGTTCAAATCGCAAAAAGCATAATCTTTTTGTCACATATATACTATTTAAAATTATTAATTTAATATTTAATATAATATTTGATTTAAAATAATATTTAAAAAAATACTGTGAGAAATAAGAGAATGGAAGCTGTTAATAATGAAGATAATTCATGCAGACATAGATTTTAATCGATTTCATTTGATCAATTTAATTAATTATTAATTAATGAATTAGTTTAATTTTTTTGATTAATTCTCTTCAAAATTACTTATTTTTCTCTTCAAATTTATATTATTTATATTTCCTTTAAAATATTTATTGTTCCATATTCCTAATTATTATTATCATTATTATTATTTAACAATTGCTGTTTTATGCACAATAGTATACACTTAACGTTCACATTTGGATTACTTAAAGGTGCATCCACATCAATTCTTGACAAAGCAATAAGTTTCGAATATGTTGTTTTGCTGTACATATATTTTAATCACTGAAGTGAATAAAATATATTTAGTGATAATAGTGATAATAATATTCAGTCCCGATTACAAATTACAAATTCAAGCGTATATATTTTTATATTTATTTATTATTAATTATCATTTATATTATTACATTATTCAATTTATAAACAAAAATTTTGTTAAAATTTTTAAATAATTATTATTATATTTGTTTATTGGTTTATTTAATAATCTATTTTTTAATATGATGGCTATTTTTGATAATCAGCATTTATATTGAAAATTTTTACATTTGAATTTTTAAAAGTTTAATATAATAAATACAGTATTGATCTTTAATATTGATAATTTTTTGATATGTTAATTTAATATACTAAATAATTAATTAAAGAATTAAAATAAAATTAAAATTAAAATTAAAATAATTAATGCTAAATAAATGACAATATTATAAATGATATTTTTTTCTTTTTTTAAAGCTCGATTATTTTTTAGGACCATTTTCATGGCCCTTTATCGGCAATCAGATTTTATTGAAACGTTTAACACGTGAATTTGGAGGACAACATAAAGCATTTATGGAACTTTCAAAACGATATAATAGTAATATTATAACTGTGAATATTAGTCATGAGAAAGTAATAATCGTTTCTGGAAATAAATTTTGTGATATGATATTGCAAAATGAGGAATTCCAAGGGCGTCCTTGGAACGAATTTATTAAAATTCGGAATATGGGCAAGAAACAAGGTGCATTAAAATTTGAATATATTTTAAAACAAATTTCGAATATGTATAATTTTTATAATTAGTTTTATAATTATACAATTTCAATTTTATAATTTTTAAAATAAATAATAAAATTTAAAATATTCATTTTTATCAAAATGTCAAATGAAGTTAAATTATAACTACAATATTTTGAATATAGAAAGTATTTCGTCTAATTGAATGAAATTAAATATTTTACGAGAGATTGATCATCAAAAAAGTGTTTTCACAAAAGTTCAAAAAATTCAAAAGGACAATATAAATAATTTTTTTATAGATCAAATAAGAAAGATTTTTACCACTTATCACTTGTTCACCACTAATTATTACTAATTACCAAATACTTTGTATAAATATGATTTATTTTGAATTAATGATATCATTATTCCTTATTGAAAGGAATCACAATGAACGATGGAGCAGAATGGAAAGAATTACGAACTTGGATGATGCGAACCATGAAGATTTTCGGTTTTGGAAAAAGCGAGATGATTAAAATGATTCAAAATCAATTAATCATATTTTCAGAAAACGTGAATAAAAATAAAATACATCGATTAAAATTATTGTTTATACCAGCTGTAATTAATATTCTCTGGACTTTTGCAACGGGAGAAATAACGGCATTCAACAAACAGCAAAAGTACATACATAAATAATTATATATGTAAAACACAATGAATCGTGATCCTTTTTTCCAATGTTTCTTCGTAGATTAGAATATTTTCTCGACTTGTTGGAACGTCGCTCGCGATGCTTCGATATCACGGGTGGGCTTCTCGCCGCTTTCCCTTGGATTCGTTACATTGCACCTGAGATCTCAGGATATAATATTATGTGTTTGCTAAATAAGGAGCTCAAGGATTTCTTAATGGTGTGTTCATTCTGTATTCAATTATGAGTTTATTAAACTCAGTGTTCAACAATTAAATCATTATATGAAAATTTTTCTCACGCAGAAAACTATTAATGACCACAAAGAGAAATATAATCCAGGAAACGAGGCAGATCTAATTGATATGTTCTTTCGAGAAATGAAAGAAAATGAGGAATCTACCATTTTTACTGGTAATAATCAAGTTCAATATATTTCATTCATACTTGAATAGATATTTATGTATAGATTTATGATATCTTTTTCTTAAAATGTATGAATTTCTATTAGAAATTCATAGGTTTTAAAAGAAAGCATTTTTTATATTTTTCATTTAATTAAAAATAATAATTTTAAATTCCTTTTAATTTTAAAAACACTAATATTTTCTATAAAAATAAATATTAATAAAAATAATACGTTAACCTATTAATAGAAATAGTTACGAAAGAGAAATTTTTCACTAAAAGCTGTCGTACAACCCCATCAAATGTGCACACGTAAATATATATTTTTATGTAATAATTTTTAGAGGAACAATTGATGATGATACTAATCGATCTTTTTCTTGCTGGCTTTACTACTACAAGCACGACTTTGGATTTTTTATTTTTAATTATGACACTGTATCCGGATGTACAACGTAAAGTGCAAAAAGAAATTGATTCAGTAATTCCACACGATAAACTTCCCAGCATGGAGGACAAAGCAAAGTAATTGAATTTAATTATTGAATTATTGTTAAAAATTATTATGCATATAAAACTTTAGACAAAATTAATTCAAATTTGGCTAAATTATTTGAAAAAAAATTAATTAAAATTATTCTATTTATTTTGTATTATCTTTTCGAAATTTTTACATAGAAGAATTCACAAAAGAATATCAGATAGAATAATTAGAGGATTCAATACGCATGAAAATAAAAATTCTTTATTATAGACTTCCATATGTCGAAGCTGTAATAAATGAAACGTACCGATTATGGCCAGTATTTCCTATAATTGGACCACGACGAGTTCTTTGCGATACGAATATTGATAAATACATGATACCGAAAAATACTACTATTTTATTCAATGCATATTCCATCAATAAAGATCCGAATCTTTATCCAGAGCCAGATAAATTTATGCCTGAAAGATTTATTAAAAATGGAGTTTTTGTACCAGATGAAAATTCTTTACAATTTGGAAAAGGTACAAAATAGAAAATAATTTTTTTTGTAGAAAAATTATGTAGAAATTTTATGATTTTAATATATATATGATTCACATTAATAAATAGTGACTTAAAACTTGATTTTGCTATGATCATTGAAGAAGTGATCATCTATAATTTTTATAATTTTAATTATATTAATGTGTTTTTCTTTTCCAGGAAAAAGACGATGTCCAGGTCATATATTGGCAAAAGCTACGATATTTATTTTTTTCACTGGTATAATGCAGAAATATACTTTATTACCAGTTCCTGGTAAAGGACCATATTCTATAGAATTTGATAGTGGTATAACATTGACGCCAAAGTCTTATGATGTATTGGTTGAAAAACGATAATTTTTGAAATATTTGTATTCTCACTTTCCATGAATATGGTTTTAAAAGTTGCTTCCAAATAAAACTTATCCTTGTTATATTAAAATAAGTTTCATTTATCATAAACGAAAAAAATGTTAATCGCTCGTTGTAAAGAAATAAAATTAAAATAATAAAAATAAAATAAAATGTATTATTTCATGTTTATTTATTTATTTATTTATAATATTATAATATAAAATTATAGACACATAATTTTTATTTAGATTAGATTGTTTTAATGATAAATCGTGATAAATAATGATAAAAATATCATTAATGCATATAAAACGTGACGTTTTTCGGTTTAAAGTAGCTTCACCCATAGATAGAAACCAGTTTATTTGATTTCAACAATTTTTCTTTCGAATATTGTTTATTGTTTCTACCGCATGAAAGTTGCTTTAAGCGTCGTTTTACGTGTTCGACGAAATCAGCGCGTTTCACAGAAGTCCAAATGTACCTTCACTTGTGCACCATCGCACGTGGAGATTCACTCCTTTTATACCGGGTTTCAACATTTCAACGTGTCAAATATTCTTTATTGCCGAAAAATAGACTTTGTAAGATCAATAAATATTATATATTGTATTATATAACAAACTTTTATTATATTATACAAATATTTTTTATATAATAAAAACTTATTATCTTATATTTATTTAAAATACAATAGTTCCTCGATTATTTGATTTAATATGCGAAGAGGGATTAATCAGATAATTTTATTTACTTAGGCTAACAAATAGATGTAGACATATCGTAATATCGTTTCTAGAATATGATATATGCATTATCTAATATATATGTAGAAAATAAATATCGCAATCATTTATTAAATTAAATTTTTAGAAAAAGTGTAAATGAAATTAAAATTAAAATTATTAAAATGATACAATTTAATTATGTCTTAAAAATTATTAAAGATTATTATTCTATTAAATACAATGATATGTTTCGATTTTTGTATTCAAATTATTTTATTATTAAATTATTTTAAATTATCGTCTTGGAAAAACGTGACATCTCCATTATTATATATATTATAAATGATTTACTTTGGTAGACACGGAAATTTATTCACATATGTAATTTTCCTTTTTAATTTTTTTATTATATTTAAAATTTTATTCTCAATATTTATAATATTTATATAGTGGAGAAGTTTGTTACATCGGATCTTGCCGTAATTTTCAAATAATAAGATTTCGGTGATATAGTAAAACCATCGTATCCATTTGGATCTGGCTTGCCATGTTCTGGTGAAATTTCGATATCGAAGTAATGCATAACGTATGCAAAGAATAAAAATAAGGATGTCCGAGCCAACGTTTCACCCGGGCAACGTCTTTTACCTAAAAAGAACAGAATTATATCAAATGTATAAAAATTTCGAATATCGATACATTGATATTTTAAATTTCTATTTATCTTTTTTAACAATGAAATAAATTTACATTATAAGAATTTGATTTTATTCGATGAATTATTTTTCTGGAGTAATGAGATATAGATATATGCGTGCTCAAAAATATTCTAAACTAAGAATCATTTTTGTATTGAAAAAGATTGGTACCTAAACCAAATGGTATATTGGCATTATTTTGACAAAATCGACCATTTGCATCGAGAAATCGCTGTGGTCGAAATTCTTCTGGATGATCCCAATAAGCACGATCGTTATGCGCACTATGAAAATCTAAAAGGACTATAGTGTCCTTAAATAATAAAAATATATTAATAAAAAAATCTTTATTTACTTGTGATATTTACTTGTGATACTTGCCTTGGGTATATTATATCCGTTCAAAATTACGTTTTTTGTAGTCTTATGTGGTACTCCAAGTGGTGCCAAAATCAAAAATCTTTGTATCTAATGCAACAATTAATTGTTTATACAATTTTTAACAAGTTTCTAATAATCATGATGAATAACAGATGGAAAAAACTTTATTAATCTCGAAAACTAAATGCTAATATATAATAATATAATGGTTGAAATAATAATAAACATAAAATCTTACACAATAATTACTAACTCCATTATAATTAATTACCTCCGCAAGAAATGATTCCATAATAGGTAACGATGAATAATCCTCCAATGTGGGAGATCGTGATCTGCCTACTACGTTATCCAGTTCTTCCTGGAGTATTTTAATCCATTCGGTATGTAAAGATAAAAACAGCAAAACAGTCGATAAAGTATCTGTCGTAGTTTTTGAACCGGCTAAGAAGAGGTCCAGGCATAGAATCAATAAATTTTCTCCTTTTAAACAATTAAATTATTTGTTATTAATAAGAGGAAAACATAATTGTACGCATAAAAAAAAAATACTCACTATCAAAAATAGAATCATTTTGTATGCCATTTTTCGATGAAATTTCTAAAAGAAAAGCTTCGATCAAATCTTGCGGCTGATTCCCAGATAATTGTTTTTCGTGGATATTGATTTCTTCATCTAAGAAATTCCAAAGTTTTCGAAGTATTTTCATTAACTTGTTGTAACCAGATAATTCTGGTATTATGAAACGTAGAAATGGCATTTGTGAGATAATGCCGCCCATCGTATCCATCAATCTATGGCAAGATGAAACGTTTATACAAATGTATATTGTATTTCTTAACATGCACTTTCTGCACTTTTAATTATATTCTGATCATATTATAAAAATCTTTAAAAAAATTATATTTTATTTTTTAGATTCCTTCTACAATAAATTACCTGAAAGAATCGTGAACAGTTTCCAGAATTTCTGTCAATTTCTCATTTTCATAGTCAAATCTATGACCAGCAAACATACACCAAAGAGAGTTCAAAACTGCAATGTCAAAGGCTGTGTGCATTGGTACAGGGCCTTTGGTACTAACACGACGAAGATAATTCACAAGATTTTCAGCTTCGACAGTTAAATATTTTTCCATAATTGACTGACCTAGGCCAAAAGATCTGAGATGGCGCATCGTAAAACGACGACACTGAGACCATGTTGATCCTTCCGTAAATAAAATACCTGTGAAAATTTATCGGTAAAATTACACTAAATTTATAAATTAAAAAAAAGATATACAGTATTTTTTTTTAAAATCTAATATTAAATATAGCAGAAAATAAAAATTATAATTAAAAGTTGAAAATTTTAATTTTTCTTTCTTCGAATCTTTTTTATATACCTTTTCTCTTTCCAAAAGCACGAACTCTGAAAAAAAATCCATCCGGTCTGCCGTTGAATTCGTCTTGAAGAAGAACTTTCTTTACTAGATCGTGCGTCGAAATTACAACGACTTTCTGACTTCCTAATTTCAAACCTAAAATCGGGCCATAAGTCTTCGACAGTTCTTGAAAAGCCAAGTAAACGTATTTGTGTTTCAGTTTCAATCGTCGAAACGTGAGAAAACAACCGATTAGCGGCAACCATTTTGGACCTATTCAAATATTGAATAAAACATGAATGAACTTAAAAAACTAATAAGATATCTTGGTAAATTAGAATAATAAATAAAGAAAAAAAAGAATTATAAAGATAATATTATCTTATAAGATCTTGTATTATAAGACTTTATTAAGAATTTTAATCTCATAGAATTGTTTTTTTAGATTTAAAGTAATTAGTGTTTTATAAAAAATCATATCTATTGATTATAAATTTTTTATAAGTTAGCTAACCAGGAGGAAAATTGTGCGGTTTAACACAATCATAAATACAAAAGATACAATAGAGTACAAGGAGAAGAGAAATAACCACATAGAACATCTTGATATGACTGATACTTTAGTTTGAGACTTCAAATGCGATTACTGTACCAAGCATATATACATGGTAACCAAAACGACTTCTGGCGGTACTCTGTGATGTTATCAGCGTGACACCCGTGGCCTTTGACGAAAATATCTTTTTGTCTGAGACATCCTTTTCACCACGCTCTTCTCATTCTATGTTCTGTTTATAGAGATCCATTTTTTTTTCCTTTTTTAGACTATAATACAATAAAAACTCGGTGTAAAATGAATGGCTTGGTTGAACTTAACAATTATCATTGTTTATGTAACAATGTTTATGGAACAAATTTAAAAAAAAAAGAATAATAGCTTTGGATTATAAGAAAAATTGAAAATAAAATTGAAAAAAGTTCAAATAATAATAATCATAATTAAGAAATAAGAAAAAATCATTTCCTTTCTCATTTTATAATTTTTAAAAAATATAAATAACAGATATAAAAAATTGAATACTAAATTCAATGTAAAAAAAGAAAAATAATGAAAAAAGATAAGATAAGAAAAATAATATAAAAAAATAATATGAAAAGATAATGAATATATTATACTTATATAATGATACTTAGATTTAAAATATAATTAATAAAAATAATAATATGTGTACAAAAGAAACGGAACAAATAAAATATAATAGATATATAAAAAGTAATTACTTACAAAATAATAATTGCTCATGTTCGATTCATTAAAGTATAAATATTTGAAACGTTATAGTAATTGAAATAAATTGAAATCAAAAAAACTATCTTTTATTTTCATTATACCTTGTTAAAATGATACAAAAAAAAAGTATCAAAGAAGTTGAAGTATTCAAAGTATTGAATTATTTCCAGATTAAATGGATTAATAGACTTCAATTGGTTTTATAATTTTGTGAGGAAGAGATATACATATCTTTCATGTATCTTTTCATTTTGAATTCTTGTTGGTATTCTGTAACATAAAATAGCAATAAAATGAAACTTTCTGATACGCCTACAATCGCTATTCTAAAAATCATCATTTTGGAAAGTTTTGGAAATTTTGACTTTCGATTTTTTCAAATTTGAGATAAAAATTAAATTGTTAAGACTTAAATTATTAAAATGCGAGTTCTCGAGTTTTTAAAATAAATCTAATTTGACTTCATATACTTAGACACAGTAAGTACAGTTTTGTAGAAAAAAATTTTAATTTCATAAAATTTTTCAATAAAAAGATTTTATTATACTTATGCATTATACATTAAATTTTCTATGATTTTCACCGAGATAAAATATCGAAATAAAATATCGAGTCGAAACATCGAGACGAAACATCGACACAAAGAGACTGAGTAAAGTGAAAACCGCAATGGCCGGTAAGTCGATTAGAAAATATACGACATTTCTCCGATTCTTTTTTCTTCTTTGACACAACGCATGTAATGAAAAGTCTGACCTCACGGTATAGTTGCATTGAAGCAAGTTTCTCTCATCGTGCATTGAGGCCGATTCCACGGTATAATGCACACATATGACTTATTAAGCCAAGTTTATGACTGATGAACAAACATGAAGAAGCATCAAATTATAAGCGTGACAAGCATCAATGAACATAATCTGCAACATATTATATACTTAATTATACTAGTAGTATCATTAAAACTCTTAACATGAACATAAATATATAAAAGTGAAAAATTTTACTTACATACATAACTGTTTAGGAAGACTGATGTGAAGAGTATTGAAAAAGATAATGCTTTCGTGCAACATCGTGTAACATTGTATACCATATTAAATGTCTTATGTTAGTATTTAATAGTATTACACATACATTTACATCTTTAATGTGA